CTTCATTCAGCTGGTGCCCTGAGCTCACCCTCCCACACGTTTCTGGGAGCTCTTGGCAGAGCTTAGGGCCCTTCATCATGGGCAGGGGGATCAAATCATGCATGTTCCTGTCTCAGAACCCTCTTCCCCAGTCCCTCAGCACCCTGACCATGTTGCAGCTCTTCATGTTTGGCCATGGTGCAGTGCCCCGAGTTCACCTTGTGCATGATTCCTAGATCAGCTGCCACCCCTGGCAGCCCCAGAGCAGCTCAGGGGTGCTGCCCCTGCTTGGGTGAGACCCTCGGTCCCCAGAGGTACAGAGGTGTCACCATGGCCAGGGCCTGCTCCTCTATCCCATGTATCTCAGGGTTTTCCATGGTACGTCACCAGCTGCGGCCTCTCCAGGGGTGCTTTGGTGAGATCAGGCTTTGATTGGGATCAGCTGTGCCCCGGGCAAGACTGAGCAAGTTCCGAGTATGCTGCCCAGAGGGAGAGGAGGGGAAGGCAGCCCTCGGGGAGGGGAGGAAGGCCTGTGGGGTTCCCTGTGAAATGAGCAAGGCAGATCTATTTTCAGTGTTGCTTGGCAGGGGTTTGCTGCAGCAGGGACAGTCCCTGCCCAGGGATGTGCATCCCTTTGCCCCCAGGGAGTGGAGGCAGCCCAAGTGGTGATTCCTTGTCCCTGCTGCTTCCCATGGCCCTCTGCCCTCCTGCTTGCATGTTACCTGGAAAGGCAGCTGCACCCTCCTGAGGTGTCCTGCTCCTTCAGCTCGGCCTTCCAGCAAGGACTGACTCAGCCTCAGGTGCTTTTTGGAGCCAGCAGTGGGGCTCCCCTGCATCCAGTGAGTGTGGGCACCCCCAGCCTCACACCAGCCCTGCGAGGGTGGCACCGGGGGTGGCAAAAGGGCCCCTGGTCTCCTGGCTGCAGGACTGGTCCCAGGGCCACCCCGGGACAGGGGCACCAACCTTCAGCTTTCAGGTGGCTGGGGGCAGTGAAGGAGCAGAGTGTGGCAATGCTGGCTGTGCTGATGGCTGGGTTGGAAATGAGGATACTGCATCTTTCAGGATTTCCCTTGTACTTTTGACCGTCTTCACTGTATACTCTCCAGTGACTTGTATTTCCAAGCTTGGTGTTGTAAGATGCATTATTATGACTCTTGTTTTACCCTTTTTTAAAGACAAGAAAGCAACCTCTTTCGAGCGCTCCGACAATAACCAGACTAATTTCTCTTCCCCACTGTCTTGTGCAGTGTCATTGCTTGTTGACTTGCTGGTTTCCTTTTTTTCAGATACAACTGAAGTATGAGGGGATTTTTTTGAAACTATTTAAGAGATGATTGCAGAAAAATGTTTACCTACTCTGTGTATTCTGGTTTTTTTCTTAACCCTTTTTCTCCTGTTTCAGCCAATATTAGCGTTTACATTTGCAACTTACAAGTCCCTTCAAATGCAGTTTTCAACCATTCTGAAACCAGCAGGGTACACTAGATTTCTTAGTAGTTTTCTTAGCTGGAATCCCAGATGTTTTCCTTTTTTTCTTCAGTATAATTTACCAGAAAGAATTAACTGATGCATTTTTGTGTTGTCTTCCCCTTCAGTAGTTATATTTTGTCTTTTCTGCACATCTGTCTACTAATAAAAATGTGAAATGAAAATATCTCTGTACTGTTACTTCCCTGGTTGTATTGCATGGGTTATTCAGAGCTTTGAATGACAAGTTCCGTGCTGCTCTGGTATCAATTCATACATCCATACACAAAAATCTGCGAGGTTTCTGGGAAATAAAGCCACTGTTTGACAGCTGCCCACACCTAAGACTAAAGAACAAGCTGATTTAGAGGAGGACTTTGGGAAAAGACCACAGGCTTTGCTGTTGCATTTAGTCTTCCTAAGTCAGGAAGGAGATCAGTGAGAAGTTGGTTCATGGATTGGTGGCTGGAGCAGGGAAGCAGGACACAGGGCCATGGTGCTGCTGGTGGTCGGTGCTCTGGCAGGGCAGGAGCTCAGCACTCCTGAAAGGATCAGACACGGCAGCAGGGACCTGCACTGCTGGGGCAGGGAATGGCTTTGGCCTCGTGCAGAAGCCTGGCAGAGAAATTGAGATCATGGCTGCTGGCCCTGCCTGGCCCACGCTGTTCCCTGCAGGCCCCGGAGAGGAGAAGCATGTTTGCTGTGCCTCGATGCTGCAGTTGGGCTAAAATTAGCGGGACAAATGTCAGGGAATTGCACTGGCTGCACTTGGCATCGATGGCAGTGCAGCAACTGCCCAGTCAAATGTAGTTGGGGCCAACTGCTTTGGCTGCACAGCTGTGCTGGAAGAATGGTGGTGGCATTTTGGAGCTGCCTTCCCAAAAGAGTCTCCATGGGGAATGGGACACAGAGGGATGGTGCTGTCTGGGAGCTGGCTTGCTTATATCTCCTGCCTGGCTCTCCAGCACTGGGCTGCCCAGAACTGCCAGGAGCTGCTCCCTGCAGCTCCAGCCCATCTGGTAAACCCGCCCATCTGGCAAAGGGAGGGGGGGTTCCCCCACTTTTCCCTGACAGCCAAGTGCAGCTGGGCTACCTCGACTCTGCCATCAGTGCCTGGAACTGGGCTTAGAGGGGAAATTGCAGCATAGTCCTGAAGGAACTCACAGTGTAGGGAAAGGACAGAACACCTTGTTGAGTCTCACGAGGAAAGCAGAGGAGCCTACATGTGGCTGACTGTGACAGTGCCTGTGGGCAGGACCTCAGAGCAGCTGGGAAGGTGCTGGAGCTGCCTTGGCTGCCCGGTGCTGGGGAGGAGGAGGGTGCTGCAGGACAGCACAGTCCATGTGCTGCCCTTCTGTGCTCACAGCCAGGCTGAGGATGGAAGTTGCCTGGCTGGGGTCAGTGGAGAAGCACTGGCAGGAGTCTTTGCAGCAGCTCTGCCAGGAATCCGAGGCTCAGGGGCTGCTGTGGGCTGGCACCAACTGGCACCTGCTGCCTTTCCCCAGCTCCAGCTGCTTCTGGACCCTGACACACACAGAAGGACCAAGCTACGCCTGCAGGGCAGCACCAGATATCTATAAACAAGAACTCAAGTGTGTGAAGACAGCTCTGGAGGGTTTTTGTGAAGAACAACTCCTGTGAGGCAGCAGCTCAGACCATGGGTAAATGAGGTGCTGTTGCTCTAAGGCTACAGCTGCTTGTACAGCCCTTGTACAGACTGACAGGTCCCAGCCCGCAGACACATCCTTGCCCTTCTTGACATCTCAACGCTGGTGGCAGTGGGACAGCAGCTGCCCAGAGCTTGCAGCAGCTGCTGGAGTTCAACCAGTGTCAAAACCTGAGCCAGGGCAAAGGAAGGCCAGGGCGGTTCTTGTGCTGCTCAGAGGCTGGGGGAGGGCTGGGTGACAACTGGGTCCCAGAGGGCCTGAGAGCTGGTAACAGAGAATGAAAAGTGGTTCTCAGGATAGAAACAACTTTTCTTGTGGATCTTGAGGGGAAAAAAGAATACCTTGCCTGTTGTGTGCTACGTATTTAGCCACTTCCTCTGCTGCTCAGGAGGATAAGCAGAAGACTTCCCTCGAGAACTCTCACCACTGCCCTTCCTCCCAGTGCAGCCCATGGACCTCTTGGGCAAAGCAAGGGAGGGCAGTGCTGCAGCTCTGCTCCCTCTCCATCCCAGCTGCTCCACAGGGACTCACAGCACCACCCCAGAAGACTCCAAGGGCAGAGACAATGCTGCTGGCAGGAGTCAGGGTGCTGCCCCGATCCCATCCCTGCTGCAGCTGCCTGAAAGCTCCTGGCCCTCAAGTGAACTCACCTTGGTCAGACCCACCTGCTGCTCTTACCCCCCCAGCTCAGCTCCTGTTGCAGGAGCGGGTGGAAAGGGACAGGCTGTAACACTGCTTCTGGAGCCTTTGAAAATGCAGACAAACACCAGTGATATGCTCAGATCTTTATTAGGTGGAGGAAGGGCTATAAAGAAATGAAAATCCTAGAACATTCACCGCACTGGTGCAGGACAAGAAGGACCAGGAGTTGCCTCGAGGGCCTTTGTTTTAAAAAAAGTGGGGAGGGACAGATGAAGTTTCCATCCAGTAGCTCTGGCTTTCCTGGGAGGGTGGCTCAGGGCAAAAAGAGGTACAAGACACAGCTTATACTTTATTTAAGAAACCGCTACATAGTTTTTGCCTCTAATGATGCAAAGGAGGTTCCAGGAGCCATCCAGTCTCTTGCTAGAGAAAAACAACAACAAAAATCCCCAAAAACAAATTAACAACAACAACAACAAAACAAAAACAAAACAAAAAAAAAATCAAAACCAAAATAAAAAAAAAGAACAAAAAAAGAAAACAAAAAAACTACAAACCAAAACAAAAAACCAAAACAGAAAACCCTGTCCTGTTTTTTTATTATTATTATTATCAAAAAACTTAAAAATTCAAAGGTGAGGCTGCAGCTCAAGGCCACAATGATGAAACAGCCCATGACAGTTTGTCTTGCACAGCAGGAGGGAGGGAGGAGATGAAAGAAAGGGGAAGGCCGATAAAAAAATTCTTTTTCTTTCTTTTATTTTCCTCCTCTTTAAAATAACAGCTATACGGGGGGCTGAGAATAGATATCAAACCAACAGGACACATCTTGATTTGCTTTTTTTGAAGGGCAAGTCTCCTTATTTGCCTGAATTTAGAACTGCGTTCAATAAATGGGATCCAGCTCTAAAAAAAAAAAAAAAAAAAAGGCGCAGTTTGTCTTTTGTCTGACAGAGTTCAAAAACCCATAGAGCTTAAAAAAAAACCTAAACAAGGAAGGAAGGATGCCCTGGTGCAGATGGAAAATGAATAATTAGTTTTCCTACAAAGAAAATAAAAGAGGCTTCAAGATGCAGAAAACCACATTTAGGCTCTATTACATTTACAAATACATACATAAATATATTACATACAACAGCAACTCAAAGAGGAAGCAGGCGAGTCACACAGAGGATGGCTGGCTGGCTGCAGTTCTCCCCGCACAGACGTTTGGCTGAGCAGTTACTTCTCCTAATAATTCCAGGAATGGGCTTCGGCTTTTGTTTTCCTTTTTCTCTTTTGTTTTCTTTTTTTTTTTTTCTTCTTTTTCTTTTTCCTCCTCTCCTTTCATTCTCTCTCCCTTCCCCCATTTCGGATTTAGTTTGTCCAGTATGGAGAAGTGCCATAGGTGGTTTTGGTAGCCTGAGACTTTTGCTGCATGGTGCTGGGTTGGTTGCGTTGGCCAGATCCACCCTAGAGATGGGAAGCAAAGGAGACATGGGCATCTGCTACCATAGCCCCAGAGCTCCCAGGAATGACAGGCCCATCCAAACATCACCAGGGACAGCCCCCACACCCACCAACGCAGAGGTGCTACCCCCAAAATGGATCTGTTCCTGCCCTGCAACATCTCTGCATCCTGCAATCCAGGATGAACGGCCACAGGGACAACAAGCAGGAGCTTGGGGATGCACCATCCCAATGCCTCCCACCCAAGACAGGGTCAAGCACAAGGAAAGTGAGGAGCAGGACTGGGGACAGCAAAGGAGCTCTCCCAAGGTGAACGGAGGTGGTGCACCAGACAAGGATGTCACACATTTGGAGTGTAAAAGCATGTCCTATTTCTGGACTCTCAAGGTTGAACACTCTGTTCTTCCAGGGAATATTTAGACTGAGGAAAGGAAACAAGAGTGCAGGTGAAATCAAATTGGAGCTGACGTACCCTACAAGGGGATGTTTCATTTTCCCCCAGAATCATAGTCCAAGTGCTCACATCCTGCTCTCCTGCCGCAGGCAGGGCACAGCAGCACCTGCCTCAGCTTCACCCCTCAGCCCATCTCTCCACACTCCACATCAGGATGGGCTCTTCACAGAGTCACAGCCTGGCTGAGGCTGGCAGGGACCTCTGGAGGTATCTTATCTGACCCCTGTGCTCATACAGTATCACCTACAGCCTGCTGCCCAGCACCATGTCCAGACAGCTCCAAGGATGGAGACTCCACCACCTTCCTTGGCAAGCTGTGCCAGTGCTTGGTCACCATCCCAGTAAAAATGTGTTCAGAGAGAACATCCTGTGTCCCAGTTTGTGCTCAATGCCTCTGTTCCTGTCACTGGGCACCAGTGAAAAGAGCCTGGCTCCATTCCTCTTTACACCCTCCCTGTGGGTATTTCTGTACATTGATGAGAACCCGTCAGTGCTCTCCAGGTTGAATTGTCCCAGTTCTCAGCCTTTCCTCATAGGAGACGTGATCCAGTCCCTTCATAATCCTTATGGTTCTTCATTGGACTCTCTCCAGTGTGTCCACCTCTCCCATAGTGGGAAGCCAAGAACTGGATACAATGCTGCAGCTGTGGCCTCACCAGCACTGAGCTGAGGGCAAGGATCAGTTCCCTCAACCTGCTGGCAATGCTGTGCCTAGGGCAGCTCAGGATCCCATTGTCCTTTTTTGCTGCAAGGGCACTTTCCTGGCTCACAGTCAACTTGGTGCCCACCAGGAACCCCAGGGCTTTTTCTGCTGAGCTGCTTTCCAGCTGGGTGGTCCCTAATATATGTTGGTGCATGGGGCTGTTTCTCCCCAGAGGCAGGACTTGGCGCTTCCCTTTGCTGAACTTCATGAGGTTCCCTTCCCAGGCTGGCCAACAGCATCAAGCCTGTCAGTCTGCAATCGCTGCCAAGGCCCTTTCCCAGTGAACAAAGCAAACACCACAAAAAAACAACTGCCCCAGGACCCTGCAGGGATGGGGGGAGCAATGCCCTTGGGCAGCTGCAGAGGCAGACGGGGCTGACTCACCTGCCCATCCTGCTGAAGGTGGTGATGCAGCATCTGGGAATGAGGCTGCTGATGTGCAGGGAGGATATGGAGAAATGGGGCTGGAGCATAACCCGGGGCAGCACCAGGGTTCAGAGGCCCAGTGGATCCGAGAGCAGAGGGCAGGCTGAAGGGAGGCGGAGTGCCAGCATGGAATCCCTGCTTGTCAAACGTCTGCACGGGAGGCAACGGGCACAGTGTCAGACTGATGTGAGCAGTCCCAGCCAGACGAGAACCAGAGTGGCCCAAACGCACATCCCCTGAACCTTTGACCGACCCCATGAGCAAGCCAGGTCACACTGAATACCTGTCAGCACCCCTGAGGATGAGTTTCAGCTCCTGTTCTAACCCGTATTTCTGCACTAATGGTTCTGACATTTTTATTTTCACGGCTATTGTGTTCCTTTTTTCCCTGACCTCTTTTCATTCAGAGGGACGTGGGATGGCAGTAGCTGCCTGATCAGTCCTTCTCATACTGAGTGGGCTCAGCCTGGAACTACTTGACCTACCCAGGGCAGTCCAACAAAAATGCAAAAACTTGCAGTAATATTTTCCTCTTGCTGGCCAAAGCTTGATGCCTAACTCTAAGCATGTAGCTGACAGCTGACTTGCTACCTGTAAGTATGGATCACAACCAGATTACCCTGGCTGAGGGCACAGGGAGGAGCAAACAGGAGCTGGACATAAGCCCACTGCCCAGCTTGTCAAGGCACCTCCTGCTTTGCTGGGAAGTTGCACAATGAGCAATGGCCCCAGGAGACTGTGGGACAGGGATTCCTGGGCATAGGGATGGGCACTACTGCCTGGTTCCTCTGGTGAAAAGCGAGAGGTCTCTCGACTCTCCTGCTTTGGGAGCTATTTAGACTAAAAATCCCATCACCCATCACATTTCATTTGCACCCAGGACAGTGCTGGCATGGGGTAGCTTGGGCAGCGTGCGGCACAGGGAGTGCTGAGCCTCTGCCAGTAGCTGCTGTCAGGAGCTGACAGCAGGAACAGTGCAACAGAGAACAAGTCCAACAGCAAACAGAGCCAGCTTACAGATGCCATGGCCTGCTGACCCTGGGACTGGCCAGCCTGGGAACAGAAGGGGATTCACGGGCCTGGCCTTGGGCCATGAGGGAGGGTTCAGCATTGCTCACCTGAGTCTTGTTATAGACTGAGCCGCTGATATCAGGCACACCCGTGTTACTTGAGGTCACAGAAACACCTGGAAAACAAAAATGCCACCCACAATGAGAATGTCACCCAGCACGACCCCATGCTTTGCTCCCAGTGCCTCCGGTAGCCTCAGTGGATGCACTGCCCTGCCGCTGGCCAGCCTGGCAGAGTTCTCTGGGATCTCAGACCCACAGCAACCCCACACGGGAACAGAAAAAAGGGCTCAGTTCCTCGTTCTCACTGCAAACCAGGAAGCCAGCCCACTGGGATAAATCACTCAGGTCCACAATCCAGCAGTTACCACTTGGATTCCAGTGCACTTCACCAGGCAGCAGCTGGTTGCACTGAACGCTCGTTTAAGCTCACAAAAAGCCAGATTTCCCCTAGGATAAGGGGTGCATTTGGCTCTTCTGCAGCATTCAAGAGCCTTCCAGTGGTGCCCTGAGCAATGAGACTCAGCATCTCCAACATATCTGAGCCCCCGTCCTTTCACATCCTGCAGAAGAGTGAGGCCTGCGATGCTGCCCTGACACCAGGGACATCACTGACTCAGACTGGCTTCCACCTGGACTGTCTGGCGGCACAACGGGCTCAGAAACACTCACCAGCAAGGTGGCTCTCAAACCAGACACTTATTCACAGTTTTTTAAGGACTGGCTCTGATCATTTCACTTGGATCAGAATAAAACCAGCAGTTCCTTTGGCAGTTGACTCGGAGGACTGGAATCAAAAGGTGTGCACTTCTTAGCAACACAGGTTACTTCAAGCCTGTAACCCTCCTCCAAACATTGCTCTTTTTTGGATTGCTTGTCCACCAAGGAGAGCATGATCACCTGGTGTTTCAAATGCAGAGCAAAGCTTGGTATTTGCTGAAGCCCAAGGATGAACTAGTTAGTGCTAAGCAGTTCAGTATACACTTTGCAGGTCTAACCAGCATGTGCAGAATAAAGCTTTCATATGAGCTGTGTAAATTCTTCAGCCTTTATGGTCACAGAGGAAACATTTCCAGGCACGACACAACGTGAGTTACAGGGTGTACAGACAGCAGCTTGACAGCCCAGAGATGTGTGAGGTGTCCTGCTCATCCATAACACACGGCTGTCTCAGGGGCCTACCAAGAAACTTAAAATCTAGCCATCGTTTGCCAGAGGACCATTTCAGCAGCAGCATCCAACTGCTCAGGTTTCACAAACACGGCACTGCTGAAGGATCACTATGTTCTTCAGCAATAAAAATTTTGGCAGGGGAAACAGCTCACCATCTCTCCCATGTATAATTGTGGACAAAGCTGCACATCAGCCACACAAACCCCATACGCAGAGTTCAGCCATGAGGTTTAGAAGGAACACCTGGGCCATTAGAGAAGCATTTTGTGTACGGGAGATGGAGAAACAGCTTGGATCGTGACCCTGTGCAACGCTGGCTGCTGTGCTCACTGCACAGCACTGGGAGATTGCCCTACTAAACCCCACTCCAGAGCAGCCTCAAGACTTGTGTGTTACCTTTCCCAGGTCCAGTGCCAGCAGATTTGTTTTGTGCTTGAGATGACCCACTGTAGCCTCCTTTGCTGTAATCTCCAGCTGCCGTTCCCTGCGTTAAGTCATCGTAGCCTGCCGGTGTGTACAAGACAAGGTGTTACAGGGCGCAAGCAGCGCTGCGGGTGCGCGCGGGCAGCGCGGCGGGGAGCCCTTACCTGCGCCATAGCCGTGCTGTCCGTAGCCACTGGCCTGCTGGAAAGGAGTCGATGCTGTGTTCAGGTTGACTCCGTGCTGCTTGGCAGACGCTGGAGGGACCTGGACAAAGGGAGGGAACAAAAGGCGCCGCTAAGAGGGGAACACGAGCTCCCTCTGCCATCTAGTGGGGAAGGCACCTCCACCTCGCGTGGGAAATTCAGTCTGGAGTTGGGAGGACTGGCATGGCACTCACACTTCCAGCAGTAACTTGCTGTAGTGGAATTGTGCAAGCCCCAGGATTTTTGCTAGAGTGATTGCAGTGCAGAACAGGCTGCATATTTCTGTCATATGCTCCATGTAAACAGCAAATTCTTACCCACAAACCCAGGAAGAAAAAACACAAAATCAAACTAAACATCAGTTCCTGCCTGAGGCTGTTTCTGTCCTGTAGGGCCCTAAATAGACTTATCTACCCTTCTGCCTGGAGCAGCACCTCTTCCCAAACAACCTTCTTCCTCCTGCGACTTCCAGGCCTGCCTTCTCACTTAATGGGGTCTCCTCCATCCTTGAAAGGACCTCCAGGCACTCTCAGCTCACTGACTCAGCTTTGGGTCTCCCCTTGACTCTTCAGAGACTAGTAAGGGCTTTCAGGAATACCAAGTCCATGAGCTGCAGCTGTCAGCTATTTAGGGAAAACTGCTCATGAGTTCTGGCCTTTTAAACTTCTTGTTTTCTCCTGGAAGGGACTGCATCTATTTTCTCATATTGCATGTTTTTGGAGATCCCTTGCAGACTGAGGAAGTTGACTCTATTCCATTTTCATGAGACTCCTCTCTGGGGTCCTCAGTATGAGAAAGCCATGGACCTGCCAGAGCAGATCCAGAGGAGGGCATGAAGATGATCATAGGGATCAGCATCTCTCCTATAAGGACAGGCTGAGAGTTGGGGTTGTTCAGCCTGGAGGAGAGAAGGCCCTGGGGAGACCTCACTGTGACCTTACAATACTTCACAGGGGCTTATAGGAAAGATGGAAAAAACATTCAACCAGGCCCTGTAGTGACCAGACAAGGGGCAGTCACTTTAAACTGAAAGTTGGTAGATTTAGATTAGATATAAGGAAAATATTCATTACCACGAGAGTGGTGTGGCACTGGCACAGATTATCCAGACAAGCTGTGGATGCCCAGTTCCTGGAAGCATTCTAGGCCAGACTAGATGGAGCTTTGAGCAACCTGGTCCAGTGGAAATTGTCCCTACCCAAGGCAGGGAGGTTGGAACAACACGGTCTTTGATGATCTCTTCCAACCCAAACCATTCTATAATTCCAAGATGCAGAATGTTTGGGCTGGAGAAAGCCAGAACCAGAGAGGCAAGCAGGGAGGGTTACAATTTAGGCTCTCACACTTACAAACATGGTTGGCCCATATTGGAATGCACTGGGAACACCGGGCACACCAGCGTAGTAAGGGAGCCCGGTGTAGCTGTACCCCGGGGGCAGGGTGGGGTTGAGGAAGGGCTGCTGAGTCGTGTGGTGAGTCTGTGTCTGGTTCTGCTGTGGCTGGGCCAGCGTGGTGGCCGGAGCAGGAGAGGCGGAATCCCCACGTCCAAATTTCGTTACATCACCTGCGAAAGAACGAACTGATCAGAAAAGCTACCAAAGCTATTCCAAAGACGGAGAATTCAATGGATTAAAATCCTCTGAATGCAAGTAGACAACTACAGAAGAGAGCACACCCTACACCTGAAAGCCTGCAGTTGTTCATGGTAAGCCCTCTCCCAGTCTCTGTTCCTGACAGCCACAGGGATTATTGCCTGTTCATGGCACAAGAACTCCGTGCCATGAATAATCCATTGATAAAATGGAGATATTGATACTCACCTATCTCACATGGTCTGAGCAGATTCATTACTATCAGATCATTGCAATAAAATATGCTAAAAGCAGAAGTATGGTAAATAGCCAAAGAGCCAATGGTTGTCGGGTTAAAGTGTCACTCTTCTGGAGGTTAAACTGATTAGCTAAGCTTCATGGGCTGAAAGCAAGTTAGGATTTACAGGCAGTGATGGGTATATTTTTGCCAATGTCTGTTTATTTGTCAAGCATAACTAATTAAGATGTCCAGTTCCTCACACCACCAAAGTTCTGAAGACAGTAGCTGAAGGCCAGGAAAGCAAGGCTTGCATCGTGGGCCACCTTATTGGAGAAGTAGGAAGGGAAATTCAGTTATTAACCCAAAAGTAGCCTCCCAGGAGAAGGGATTATGAAGCAGAAAACTCCCAAACACCTGAATGTTCTGGTAGCCTACAGAGCAGCATGTTTATATGTTTTTTTAAGGAGGTGACATACATCAGTCACATCTACCTCATCTCCAACAAGTTTTTCTTTTTGTTGGTTACCAGGAAGTATGACAACACTTAATACCTTCACTATAGGAACTACAATGCCCATGGCTACAGTTTTAAGCTGTAATCAGATGGCAGTGGATGAAAACCACTGCTGAAAACCCTGGATAGCATTAATATCATCTTTGCACAATGATGACTAAAGAGAAAGAGCAGGAGTGAAGAAGAGCTTCTTCAACCACATGTTTACAGAAGGGAAGAACAATTCCTCTTCCAGCAACAGCAGGAGGACCTGCACGTAGAAACCAGAACATCTCGCTTACCACCCTCATCTTTAAACAGCACTCACCTGAGTACGGGTTGTTAGCAAGGCTCCCATCTCTGCCTGTCAAGGTTGCAGGAGCAGGGAATGTAATTCCGTAGTAATCCTTGGAAAGAGACGACATCATTTATTAATAGTTGAAACTGTAACAGAGCTGAACAGCTCTTATAAACCCCGTATTATATGCAGAAGAAAATTTTGAAAGCAAGAACTAAAAGAAGTTTGAGTGGAATTTGACCTTATGCCTTGCAGCAGAGATAAAAATTTACCTGGATCCTCAAGTTAAAAATAAACCTACTTTACAGACATTTAAAATATTATATGCAAATACTTCATCTCTTAATAGTAAGCTAAAGGCAGTAACTAAACAATTTCCCTCCCAGCTGTCATCTTCTGGTGAGACTGTGCCTGGAACAGAACCAGGTCCAAAGTCACAACGTGGATGTACACAGTCTAAAGGTTTTGCCCTTGTACCATGCCCTGTTTTCTAAAAGTGGAGATGTCAGCCAGTGAAACAGCAAAAACATTAAAAAAAAAAAGGAGAAACATAGTTACTATTGGATGACTGGAAAATTTATTTAAACTACATTACAGGAGACCTCGGGTCAGTAGTGTCCAAAGTGGGGCAGGCATGACAATCCATTGGGGTGCATGAAGAAAATGGGTTTGGTACCATTCATAAATACAACTTACAGAATTTTAAAATAGTGTTTGTTTAACCTTTTTCTCCTCCTTTTTTAATTTTTACTTTTTTGTATGTTTTATACATGTTAGTACAGGAATATATGTATATAGTATAATTCAGAAATAAAAATACATTGTGAGTGAGTGCTCACAAATTTTTTACTGATGGGGTGCATAATAAAAAAGGTGGAGACCTCTGCCTTGGATCAGTCTTCCAGGTCCTCTACAGGAAAATAAACAGTCCTCACCCTAGAAGGCTTGCACTCTGAGATGACAGGACATGACAGCAAAACCAAAGCAGCATTTGGACTTCAGTTTGAGAGAAAAAGCAACAAGTTTGCCCTTCTCTCTCTGGATGAACTCCACCTGTGGGCCTGGTACTCTACTGTTTTTCCTCCTAATTTTCCTGTTTCACTCCTCACCACCTCCAATCCATCAAGAGTTAATGCTTTAGCCAGTAACATATCTATTTTCACACATTCTTAAGCACTGGAAAAGCATCCTCATTTGTCATACCCCTCTCTGCAAATTCCATAGCACCTCAAATGCTTTCTGAGTTGACACCACCTTGGTGCATTTCTGTGCATCACTCCCCTGTCTTCTGTACCCAATCCTCTATCACTGAACATGAAATATGTGGCAAAGTTTCAGTATTGGTGCTTTCTGTAATTTGAAATGGTGCCATTATTTCATCATCCTTTTCTTCCCAAGTAATTCCCCTTTATCAACTCAAGCATGAATCACTTGACAGAACATAACCAAACTCACATTAAAAGTCTTAGCAAAAAAGCAGCACTCCTATCATCTTCCGATAAAAATGCCACAAAAAGAAGATTTAGAGGAGAGATGTCAACAATTCAGTGGGTATGAACTGGAACTGACACACTACCATTCTCTCCTATACAAACTGGACAAAATATAATTAAATCCACATGAGAAGAGAGTGTAAGAATTGCAAGTATTCCCACTGCGCCTCAGGCAGGAGAAAACCACATAGTGCTGAATATCTCTACCCCACAAACCTGTGCATAAACACACTCAAACCAAACAGTCATTAGAAAATACGAGTGCAAGGCAGTTATCTTTGCAGTTCATGCCTGCCCAAAAGAAAGTATTAGAAGAGACACTCTGCTCTCCAGACCACAGATATCTCCCGACCTACAGAAGGCACACAGGAGAAGCTGCCTGAAGTCAAAACTGAAATACCAGGAATAGGCTCGAAAAGTGAGACAGAAAAGGATGGAAAAAGAGTAAGTGATGAGACATAATATATTTAAACTCCATCAAGCAGCTCACTGGGTACCACACACACCAGCTGAGGCATCTGTAAAATCTCTGCAACAGATGAGCAGAGAAGACAGTATACAGAAGACACTGTAACACAGAACTAAAGGACCCAAACAACAAAAAAATCCACAGGGAGAATTTACAGCATCAACATGCACATTACGTAATTGAGTTATCTTTAGAAAAGAACCTCAGGAGAAACTCCCATTCTCGCTGCATGAGCAGCCACCAGGATATCTTGCTGCTGGAAGTTGCCCAGGAAGCAGTGATGACTTCCACTTGGAACTTTGCCCACTTTCACTTTCTAGATGTAAGCAGACTGCCACATGAAATACAAACATTTCTGCCTGCTCCTGCCCCCCAACATCATTTTCACAAAAAATTCAAAACACAACTAAACCCCCCCCCAAAATCTAGAAAACACAACCATTGCATGAATAGCTGACGAAAAATCCTTCGTGACATATATACATTTATTTCTATGAACATACCTAAGATAAATAACTCAGGGTGCATGGGGTATAAAAGATACCCCCCAAAATATTCTGCAGATATTTGCAGAGAGAGTAAAAACTCCTCCACCAGCAAAGTTGCAGATGACACAGAAGAAATAAAAAATATTAACACATATATATTAAAAAAAATTAAAGAATGCTGGGAGACTAATAATATTTGTCAATAAGAAATACAGGAAAACATCTATTAACATGCAAAACAAGCATTATATAAAAATAATATCAGAGCATAAAATAATAAAAAATAGCTGCTGGCAGGCAGAGAAATTTTAAAATAAAACCCAAAAGATAGCACACGAAACAGATGAAAAGGAAACCCTGAAACAGATCCCCAGCACAGCCACCCAGAAAACTTTTTCTGCCATGCTTTCATCTCCCACTGCACCGTAACAGGACAGATAGGAGTCCTGGGAAAGAACCAGTTCCACTTCCCACAGAGGGCCATCTCCTGGTCACACTGAACAAGCACAACAGAAGCCCTCAGGACGAAGCAAACAGAAAGCAAAAATGAAAACGAAGGGAGGGAAATTCTGCCTAGATGATGGTGATGATGAAAGGAAAGCCAGGGCACCACAAAAAGCTGCACACTGGCAGCACCCTAAGCACAGCAACCACCACCACCGAGCCAGACCAAGCTCCTGCACAGCACCCACGGCTCCACCATGGCTGTACCTGGATCTCAACAGCCCTGCCTGTGGAATGGCACCCTGGCACTTCTGCTCCTGCTCACCGCTCTCACCTCCAGCCTTCCCTGCCACCACCTGCAGACCTTCGACAACACCTTCCCCTGGGAACAACTCCAGCTCCTCAACGACATGGCTCCCAACTCAACAAACACCTGTCAACTCCACAACCCGCCTTTCTTCCCCGACACCCTCCGCCTCAACAACCTCAACCCGCACCAAGCCGCCGACGCCGCCCTACGCATCCTCCAACACCTCTTCCACACCCTCAGCGACAACAGCACCTCCCAGCACTGGCACGCCCAGCCACGACACCGCCTCCTCAACCAACTCCAGCACCACATCCACCGCCTCGAGCAATGCCGCCCCGACAACGCACGCCTCTTCAAAGGACCCCGCAACTTGGTGTTCACCATGAAAAGGTACTTCAGGGGCATCCACCTCTTCCTCCACGCCCACAACCACAGCGCCTGTGCCTGGGAGCACATCCGCCTCGAAGCTATTACCTGCTTCCAACGCGTGGACACACTCCTACGGCGAATGAAGCGTCAAGGTGCTCCGGACCTCACTAAACCCACGGACAGCCAACGCCCATCCCCAGTCAGCGCCAGTGCCCACGGATGGAGAGATGGCAGCAGCAGCCCAGGCTGGGATCGCTCGGCACCGCTCACGCCGCCTCCAGCCACAATGCTGAGATGACGGGGAAATGGGTATGACCGTGGCGACACCGGGGTCAGGCTGTGGCACAAACCATGGCCACTGGAAAGGAATGGGGAGGAAGTTTCTGTGCTGCACACTAATGGACAGCTGGGAGGCACTGGGGATAGGCACGGTACTTATTACTCATGGAATTTCAAGTCCATCCAGACTGCAACTTCAACTGATGATGCGGAACGGGACCATGGACACTTTGGGGGATACTGTGGGACTCTCATGCCAATCACTATTTATCACAGAACTATTTTTTACTTATTTAATTGATTTATTATTTATTTATTTATTTGGCTAGCCATTAACTTATCTATTCAGTCACTTGTTGGAAATAAAGACTTTTTGTAAAAAGAGAAGGAAAAAGCAAACCTGTGGTCATCATGTTCATACCTGACAGGTAAAGACACGGTCTTTTAGGTAGGCAAGGATGAGTCTCCCTCCTGCATCCTGTGTCAACTGATCCCAATGCCTTGCGCCCAGGTCAAAGGCTACAGATAGCAGGCCACTTTCAGGGACCCACTGTGGTCCTGAAAGCCCACAAGGCATCTCCTACTGATGCCAGACCCTTGGAGCACCCATTTGTCCAGATGACACACTTCCTCCTCTCCTGCCACCCCTTCAGACCCTCTCACAACACCAAGACATGAAAGCCACCTCCAAAACACCATCCCACCACAAATATCCATTCAGCACTGCTTTGGAACAAGCAGGGTGGTATAGACAAGATGCATCTCAAAGAATCAAGGAGGGGACCTACCAAGGTCTGCAGAGATTTGGACATGAAACAGCAGCCCAATGCTACCAACATCCCCCAAGAAAAACAAAAAAAGACACAAAACCCACAGGTGATGCCCAAGACTGCTCATTGCTCTCCTACAGCCACCACAACTGGTCCAGGATGCTCCCACATGCACCTACACACCAGTGGCCATGGGGACTTGCACTACACAGAGGACATTGTCCTTGTCCTTCACCCCAACGCATCCTCAGCAAACAGTAAGATACATTCCCCAACCACCACCACCCAACACGGTCCTACCCAACCAGCACATCCAGTACAGCATTCCCCATGAAGGAAACTGCCCACACACCTCTAGCACCTGCTGCTCCTTCACCCTCCAACCCATCACCCCAAGAATATCTGCCCCAGCTGGTTTGCCCTCCCTGGGGAAGCCCAAGCAATGCCAGCAGCTCTGGCCTCCTCTTGCACAGGATAAAGAGGTTGCTCTCCGTGCTCAAACCACCTCCACCACCGCATC